GATTCCACAAGTTGAAAACGCTCCTTTACAGCTTACACGATAACTTCGCGGCATTGCATACCGCGTGTAGAGTGTTGCTCACAAGCATATATAAAGGCTATGCACAAATCACAAGTTCACAGTTTCACTGTAACATGGTGTAACATCATGTCTTTATGGAGACCATTCGAAGACAGCGAAGAAGAGAAAGAAGAAATCGTCCACGCCGTACATGAAAGCAACGTAAAAACCAACAGTTTGGCGTTGGCGAAAAGGAAAAAGAGGTGGTAATGGAAGCGTACCTACGTTATGGAGATAACTGGAAGACTGTAATAGAGTGCGTGAAGACAAAAATCAACACTAAGATGCCATGGTTTGATAATTTATGTCAGTTTTATTTGAAAGAAGACGAGAATAAAGTTTTGGGACGTATAAAGAGGATTGTAAGAGAAGAAACAAAGGTCCAGGCCATGTTATATCAGAACACACGTACTGAGCCGCAGACTACTAATCATCATCACGGTATCGATATGGTAGTTGATGCAAAAACGAAGAACACACACAGGGATGGTGCTGATGTTGTTGCAAAAAGGCAAATGAGATACGCTGAAAAGAAAACGCCAGAGGAAAGAAGTAAACGCAAGTTTTACTCTTTGGTAGATAGAGAAAGTGAGGAAAGTAGTGATAATGAAGCAGAGGTTACTTTGACGCCCGTCAAAAAGAAGAAACAGCCGTCGCAGCGAGAGGTCAACTACCAAGCGCAGATTGCTCATACATCCATGTGTGAAAAAGCTTCTGCTAGTCTTGAGCTCATGAACAATGTTTTAAGAAAACTAGAGAATAAACTGGATGAGCTTTAGTCAGTGATATATATAAAAATCAAATATCGAATAATTGCTCAGAATAAACTCTTGAACAAGCCCCTGTCTTATGTGTTTTGTTTTTTGTTTTTTGTTTTTTTTTTTTGTTTTTTAATATCCTTCTAATACCTTTTAACAATAGAGGTGTCGCGTTATCTGCTAATTTACAYGTGAAACGTAAAATAACGTGCAATTGTGTATTTATGTTCTTATGCGGAATAACTCTAATATCTGTGAAGCTATTAGAACGATTTCGCGTAAGCGGCTTGTTCAATGCAAATGAGTATGTGGGCTAAAATAGCATGCAAATGAGAAGCATTATAGATAACGGCTTTTATTAAATGACTTGTGTTGTTCAACTCTGTTCTAGTAACAAAACAAAAATAGATGTACACTTCGCTGTATTACACAAACAATGCACACTATTTAATGAACGATAAGAACAATACAACATTTTTCTATTTACCATATTATATAAAGTAGAAGGCTTAATACATGTGGCATTTCGCAGTTGAATATTAGATAACAGACAAACAAGTTAATTAAATGCTTTCAAAAAGAGAAACACGTCTTTCAGCCAGAAACGCTGCTAATTCAATACACACAGGCATAAACCACCGCTAATGTCTCCAAATACTTGAAATAGCCCGGTATGTTTTCATTTCCTTGAAAACATGTTCAACTTTGATTCTTCTTCTAGATAAGCGACGGTTAAATCGATGTGCTCTTCTTCTGTCTCGCCTATTCAACAGTCGCATTTGCTGAGCTCTAACCGCCGTAAGAAGGGGATGGGCACCAGGATAAGCCTTATCTGCAAGCAGTTTTGCTCCGTTTGGTAGGGATAATGGCTGTCCAGGTCCTAGGTGTCATTAGACGATATGATGTCGCATCGTGTGTGCTTCCTAAAAACCCAGCATGCACGAAACGTAAATGTCCATTATCGATAATTAGCTGTGTATTAAAGCAATGGTAGTGACGGTGTCCACTGTAGAAGGGTCGTTGCGGTTCAGTTCGAGGTCTGTACATTTCGTGTGGAGTACTATCTATAGCGCCAACAGCACTTTGGGAATTCAGGCCAATTGCCCATTAGGTTAGCTCATTCTGCATTATTTGGCCACCTGATCTGATTATGGAAGTATCGCCACATCTGGGGTATGATTCTGTAAATAGTTCTTGTAATACTTGTCGGGTCCATATCAAATATCAATGCAAGTGTATCAAGGTGTGGATATTTCCTCAGCCACATGAGAGTAAGCAAAACCTGATTGTTTAAGTTTAACTGTTGTCGTCGAATTCGTCGCCGTTGTTGTCCATAAATGTTAAGAGCAAAAAGTGTTTGAGATAGATCTGCTACAAGTTGCAGAAATGACCCTATAGTTTCGCCGGTGTTTCTCCAAAATAGCCACGGTTGGACAGACACTTGGGAAAACACGTCTCTTCCTTGAAACTGATGGCCATGAAAACCTGGCAGTAAACGCTGCTGTAAAGCAATGTGTACAGCTTGAGGTGGCGGTTGCATGGCCACTAAAAGAAGCATTAAAGAGAGTACATTAATCAAAAAGGCACGAAGTTGTAATAGATCCWTGACACCAGTTGACACTAGTTGGATAATTATGCAAAAACCTCGATCGTAGTCAGAAGAAATCGGCAAGGGCTTTCACATTTTTGCGTGCATTTCTCATCACATAAAACAGCAATCCCTGCCACGTGTCCCTGCAGTCTCTTGGTAAGCTTGCTGTATTTCGCTTAAACAGAGGACTGACATGGTCAGTACACAAACTACTAGTACTGAAGGTAAGAAAATTGTTTAAACTATAAGATAGTTCAGTCTTTTGAGCAGTTTTCTATTTAATTAAGTACGATAAATGCTTCAACATCAGCTAATTCATCATCACACGTGTTCTCAACAGGAAGCGGGTGGTTAACATATACCTGGACGCGCCTGAACAACGCGTGACGAACAGAATCAAGAGCGTTTTAAAGAAAAAACTGGCTGACTCTTCCGGGCCGTCTACCTCCACCTCTAAGCCCATACAACAGGCCAACCAAATGCAATATGCAACTAAAGGAACTCCAGCTGAAAGGCAGACTAGAAGTAAGCTTGCAAACGAAATTGTTTGGTCTAGTTCAGACACCAGCGATTCAGATGACTTGGATGCGTTAGTACAAGAGCCAAAGAGCAAGAAGAGAAAAAGTGACCGAGAYGTAGCTAGAGAAGCACAAGAAAAACATACAGAAATGTGCACCAAGGCGATGGAGACGATGGAAAGAGTTAATCTTTTACTCGCAAGCGTACAGACACAAATTAACCAGGGGAAATAAGAATGTAACCAGCTGATCAGTGTCATTTCTGACTGTTTTCTTGATTGATATTTTTACACTTTTCTTGATTGATATGTTGACAACAATAACAACARTATACATCTAATTTTGTTTTGTTACTAGAATAGAATTGAACAACACAAGTCATTTAATAAAAGCCGTTTTCTATGATGAATCCACGAGTTTGCTTCTCATTTGCATGGTATTTTAGCCCACATACTTATTTGCATTGAACAAGCCGCTTACGCGAAATCGCGAGCAGTGTATTGTTATTTGACTATACCATGTAAAAGTTATCTAAGAACGCTTTCGCTAAGTTGTATGCTCAAAGTTAAAATTGGAGGTCATTTTAAAAAGAATTGTAATAAGAAGTCTCTATCGAAAATAAAATATGTATAAAGTCACTCGTAAAAAAATCGTCCAGGTTGGATTGCGTCAAAACAGCAAGCGGAAGCGCTGTTGACTGAAGTATTATGATATGGTTGATAATACTAAAACTTAAATTTAAATTTAAATTTAAATTTGCTTACATTTCATCCTACTTTATTAATTCCTGTATCATAAAATAGTACCATTAGAATGTCCAAGAATATTATTGAGTAATAGAGAAAGTTGTTTATATACATATGTTGGTATTCCTGTGTATCTGACCCGTAGCCGTAGCCGCGGCTACAAGTGAGGATTTGAGTGGCGGGGTATTCGATAGTTGTACCTTAGTGTACTTGACCACGTGATCTCTGATGCACAGATAGACAGATTTGCTAAAGCAACAGCAAATGACATGACCTTGGCACTGCTTCAAAGTGTAGTTATGGCAGGATGGCCAGAGACAAAGGAAGAGACGCTAACCAAGATTCATGAGTATTGGAACATTAGAGATGAGATAACAATCTCACAGGGACTACTTCTCAAAGGACAGAAGATTATTGTACCCAAAGAGTTGAGAAACGAGATGCTAGACAAACTGCACTGTGGCCACCTTGGAATCAACAAGACACTACAAAGAGCAAGAGATGTTCTTTATTGGCCAGGAATGAATCAGGATGTCAAAGAAAAGATTCAGAAGTGTTCTGTATGTCTRGAGAATCAACCAAGCCAGAAAGCTGAACCACTACAAAGTCATGAAATCCCAYCTTTACCCTGGTCAAAAGTTGGTACAGACCTACTACAAAAGGATGGTCGACACTACATTGTAACAGTTGATTACTACTCTAAATGGCCAGAACTTACATTACTGAACTCTTGTACTAGTGCAGCTGTAATTACTGCACTGAAATCACAATTTGCAAGATATGGAATACCTTCTACATTGGTCTCAGACAATGGACCATGCTATGCCTCTAAAGAGTTCAAGGAATTTACAGAAGAATGGAACATTAAACWYATCACATCCAGTCCAGAATACCCAAAGTCTAATGGACAAGCAGAAAGGAAAGTCAGAACAGTTAAGGCCATGCTAAAGAAAGCAAAAGACGTTGATACTGCACCACTGTCATACAGAAATACACCAATTGATGGAGTAAACTTATCACCTGCACAGATGTTAATGGGACGAAGATTGAGAACAACAGTTCCTCAGACAACCGAGACTCTTATTCCACAAAGGTATGACCCACAAGAGACACTTGCGAAGCTGAAAGACAGACAAAGCAAACAGAAGTTTTATCATGACAAGTCAGCAAAACCCTTGGAGCCCTTAAAGGAAGGAGATATAGTTAGAATATAACAAGATAAGAAGTGGAAACCGGCAGAAGTGCTACAGAAATTGCCTGAGACACGTTCATACCATGTCCAAACCGAGAAAGGTACATTTAGACGAAACCGCAAACATCTTCTAAAGACAGAAGAGCCAAAACCACTTGATGATGCAGTCTATGTTGAAGACGGCCAGACTCGGCAAACAATGTCACTAGCAACATACAGTCTTATGATGAACCGGAAACAGTTGAGGCACCAATGCCCATACCACAGTCTAATGGAGCGGTTACAACGAGAAGTGGTAGATGCGTAAAACCACCAAAGAGATTTGAAGATTCCAGATTCCATATACCAATTTCAAGAGAACTGAAATTACAGCGATTTGCACCGAGTGAAAACATGATCGAATTTACTGCGATAAACCTGAGACCTGCCGCCGTAAAATCGCTTTAATTTGTAGACTGTTTACACCCCGTTTACACTATCGATTTGGGTTTTCAATAACATTTTTGTGCTCCAAAAATCGCAGCTTGTGTCGTGTAACTAAATCAGTAGTCCCCCGCCACTAAGAACGGCTACACTTTGGCATTACCCATGTATTTCTTCTTGGCTTCTTCATTAATCGAAAATCCCAAATGTGGGACTTTATTTTTCTTAAATACTCTGAAATTGTCCAACTTGGGATCGATTAATTTCGTCCAAAACAATATTTGTAGATAATATAATCAATAGTAGGTCATAGTAGTTCATAGTAATCAATAGAATTTAATTCATTGTTGAATCAAGGATTTGATTGACATTTGTCATTAAATAAATATCGTGTTTCAGTGTGTAAAATTCCATCAGTGATAAGTCTGTTGATTGGATAACTGCTAACCTGAAGCTATCCTGTGACACAGAAGTATAAAGTACCGTAATCGTAGAAATTAGAATAGTGAAAAGTTGTTTCATACCTACTCTTAATCACGTGTAATACCTGTGAAATACGACGAAAGGATATATTATACACTCCAAATAGATCAAGTGTCAAGTGTGTGTATTTTTTATATTATATAATCTTTTTTTCCTATTTCTCTCTACGGTTTTTAATGAATTAATGGTAAATTATTTTTTTTCTTCAATATTTCCCATCAAATTCGCTGTAAAAGTTTTTGTTTTTATTCTAATCAATTATTTTGTATTGTTTGATGCATGATTGATTTTTTTTTCTCGTTGTCACTCGTGGTCGCTCGTGTTCATCCGTGTTCATTCGTGGTCACTCTTGATCACTCGTGGTCACTCGTGGTCATTCATGGTCACTCGTATGTACTTTTAGACATGATCGTCAAATTGTTTTGTGGAAAAATCGCCGGAACAACTGTAATTTAAATTAATTCAACAAGAGAAATGCAATATAGACCGAAATAACACTGTTCGTCAAGTTTGTATAGTCACAAGCACGGCACTTTGAGATTCATGTTTCGACTGCCTGACATTTAGTCCCAGAACTAAACGTCAGGCAGTCGATTTTTTGTTGTGAAAAGTATCAGAACAACTGTAATTTCAATTAATAGCATAAGAGAAATGGAATAAAGACCGAAATAAGGGTCTTGTCACTGAGAAATTAGCAGTGGGAAGGGGAGGTGGAAATTGAAAGTGGGTACTTGGGTTAAGGTGACATACCAGAGTTGTAGAAGTGAATTTTTCTAACCCTCCCCGTATCAGACCGTCCCCACTTCAACCATTACCACAACAATTTATCATTGCCTTGCCCCCAAGGAGCCAGTGAAAGATGGTTCAGGGCCTGCACCATTCGCTGGATGCTTGGGTAATGGCTGAAGGGGGATGGGAGGGTCACAATATTTTGCCCGTCTAATATCAGTATAGGTTATAAAATTTCACTTCCCCACTATGGTTATTAACCATGTTTCCAGTACCCAATTTTCAATTTCCACCTCCCCTGACCCCTGCTAATTTTTACAAGACCCCTATTTCGGTCTTTATTACATTTCTCTTGTACTATTAATTCAAATTACAGTTGTTTCGACGACTCTACACAAAAAAGGTCGACTGCCTGACGTTTAGTTCTGGGACTGACTAAACGTCAGGCAGTCAAAAAATCTGAAAGTGGCATGCCGTGCCTTTGTGACTATACAAACTTATCGAACAGTGACTTCGGTCTTTATTGCATTTCCCTTGTATTAATTAAAATTACAGTTGTTCCGACAATTTTTTCAAAAAAAGGCAATTATCGGTCTTTAGTGCATTTCCCTTGTTGTATTAAATTACAGTTATTCCGACGATTTTTCACAAAAAAAATCGACTGCATGATGTTTAGTTCTGGGACTAAACGTCAGGCGGTCGAAAAATCTCAAAGTAATGTGCTTGTGACTATACAAACTTGTCAGACAGTGTTATAAAAAAATCAGCTGCCTGACGTTTAGTTCTGGGACTAAACGTCAGGCTGCCTGACGTTTAGACACTCCGTATTTTTTTTGGAACTTCAAAGTCCAGTTTTTGAAATAATGAACACATGCAAGGCAGCACTCAATAACTTTAAGTTAGACTAGCAAATCCTTAATCTCATGTGTTGCTGATGTTATTTAACATTGCTGTGTATGATTTTGAAGGGATTTAGATAAGAGCTATTTTTAAAAAAATATCGCCATCAGTCACACACCACTCGTTTTTGGACTTCAAATCCAACCGTCCCAAATCGTCATGTTTGCACACTATTCTGACTCAATTTTTGAATCTGCTAAAGCATTCATCCACCTTGATGGACACCGTTTTGCAAAACTGCCTCTGATTGGACGAAAGTTACCATGGAATCAGTTCAAGTACTCCCGACTACTACGGGGAGTGTAGAAATTTGATAACGCTTGAAAGACTTTGCCTTTGCAACGCTCCTGAACTAAAATAAACCTGGCAGCGTAACTGCGGCTTCGGTTGAAAACCTCGAAAAAGCGCGCGAACGAGTTTTCCCTGAGCTGTGTACGTTCGGCCTCGGGCTTGGCGGGCCTTTTGGGGATGTAGACAGTTGTACAAATTCCTAGACTCCCCGTAGTAGTCGGGAGTGCTTGAACTGATTCCATGGTAACTGTCGTCTAATCAGAGGGAGTTTAGCAAAACGGTGTCCATCAAGGTCGATGAATGCTTGAGTGGATTCAAAAATTGAGTCAGAAAGCGTACAAACATGACGATTTGGCACGGTTGGATTTGAAGTCCGTTGAAATATTGCCCAATTCTAGATAGAAGGATCCTAGAGACATGCCGCTGAGGGGATTTTGGAGGCAAAAGATGGATTTAAGATATGTTTTTCTGCCTTCAAAGACGAGTGGTGATGACACTCTGTAACCAGCCTTGTATTCTTTTTATATAACTGATGGCGATATTTTTTTTAAAAATAGCTCTAAATCCCTTCAAAACCATACACAGCAATGTTGAATAACATCGGCAACACATGACATTAAGGTAAAATGTATTTTATTTAAAAAAAATTGAATCAAATGCTCTTCTTGGGTTGATCTGGGTTGCCTGTGAGTTCACTCGCCCTCGAGGTCTAATTTTAAAAGGGAACYTCAGATTTGACAGCGAGTAGGAGATTGTGCTATTAATCATGAATTGCATTCCTGTGAATAGAGACAATAGATTGCGAAACATCAAAGAAATAAAAACATGAAGTTGGTTGAAATCCAGTATGGACAACTCAATAAAAGCTGGTTTGAAAACTCGTACTCATCAATCTCGTACTCGTTGTCAAATCTGAAGTTCCCTATTATTGTTAAGTAAGCCGTTAAGATATGTTCGTATTTTAATGTATACCATAAACATTGCAAATCTTATTTCTTTAATTCACATGTTTACACAACAATTGGGGCAAAGAGCTCGCCGGCGCGGGTTTACTCAGTTCTGCGTCTAGTTAGATTTTCATTAGAAACATAAAGTATCTTTCCGAATGCATTTTCAGGTCGTCGTTGTAAACGAYGAAATATTGGTAATTGTTTAATGATTGTTTGCATAAAACTTAAACAATTCATGAAGGGAAAGTTTATCAAATGGTGATGCGACCCAGAACTCAACTGCTGGCCGGTTTGGTTGATGACTTTTGCGAAGCTGTGAACGCACTAATCCTCAATTTCAAGGATTCTTATTTTTTTAATGCTTTAATTGCTTTTTTAATTAGGGTAGGAGTGGATTGGAGTGGAGACGCGAATACATATATTTGTTAAAAAACAATAGGAATCTGCAAAACCTATTTTACAAAATCTAGGCATTGTGTTTACAATTCAATTAAGGATAAACAATGGGAAAGGTGCAGACACTAATTGCCATAATGCAAATAATCTATTATCCTAAATTAGTCTTTTATCCTTTGTAAAACTCCCATGAGGTTTTGTTAGGTTGACATAAACAGCGTCCATGTGGAAAATAAAGTCTATTTCGCTTTTAGGTCTATATATGATGCAATAGTCAACGAAGACATAAGGTAAGAATTATCGCATTATATCGTTATGTTTTACTGTAACAAAGTCAGTCATGTTAGATAATGAAACTGTCGTTTCCTCAAGGTAAATATTCCGTTCTCTTCAGMTGATTTTTATGTCTTCCACTGAAACCAAGTAAATTTATCTTTTAAACTTCTTTCTTAATCCGGTGAGCGACATACTTACACTGATAAAATGGTGGGAGCGGTAAACTAGTGTGAGCTGCGTCGGTGTTTCTAAAGAAACAGTTATGTAAAAAGGTAAATTTAACACCGTAAAAAAGTATGTGGAAAAACTTACTGACGTTTCGGATGTTTTTTTACGGTGTTAAATTTATCTTTTTACATAACTGTATACTTACACTGAGATGGACTTACTCAGCGTACCCACGCGACCCCTACTCGCGTCATCGACTATAACGTTCTTGTTGTTTTGCAAATGCTCACAAACTATATATTTTCTGAAAGCTTAGTAATTGTAGTTTATTCCTATAAGTGTTTGAAATGCATTTGAAATTACGTTTTAGAGTTATTAGCTCCATTATCTGAAACTACATGCCTGTATAAAACGAACTCCAAGTCTGAAAGAATTATCGGAAAAAATTCAATTTAAGCGCTGTTCTTTTGTTCACATATTTGTCTCAAAAATTGTGTCTGCGATTTTTTATACGCGCTCTCGTTTTGATTTAATGTTGTAATAAAGTTTAGGAACGCAAAATTATGTCAAGTTCTTTAAAGAACCTTGAATAACTTTTGAAAAAATACGACTTATCAAAATCCCAGACACAATTTTGTTGCTTAACTATCTGTAAACAATGCTACGAAATTTGAATAAAATTGGTTTACGGGTATCTGACTTGGAGTTTAAAACGTATGMCCTACTTGCCGTAAATTTTGTTTCGAGAAATGAGTCAAAAACAGTTTTTAGCCCGTAATGATACCGGGTAATACCAGATTATGAGACCATACCGGAATCTACGTCATGTTAGCAAAAAAGATGCGATGACAGCTATAAAACCGATTTAAGTAGTAGTATGGTCAGTTTACTTTCAAAAACATCAACTTTTAACTCGTAAGATTTTACTAAATATACAGTTTTTTGTAGCAAATTTGGGTTTGGCCGAAACTGCCGGTGAGCATATTTATCGAATATATTGCTTATTGGGGTCCTTCACATAGACATATTCTTTTGTATCTTACGGCATGCTTCAATGGCTCTCACTCTAAACGGTCGTATATAAACTCGTTTGATGTGAGCTGTCATCAACGCCATTAATCCAATTTTAAAGAGTAAAAAATCTTTTGAGCGCAAGAACTTTTGTTGTAAACTTCGTTTCTTTTCAAAACTTTACTATATACCTAGATCTACAAACGATCTTTCCAATGGTATAAAAATCAAAAAATCATTAAAATGTGACGGTTTTGGGGACGCTGTTCCGTTTATAAAGTAAAATCAGTTAATCGAAAAAATAAAGAAATAATCTAACATAGCTCCGTATCCTACCTGGTCGCGCCACTATAAAAGAGTGAACAGTCAACATTAGTCACGACGTTGTTATTCACGTCCCAAACCAGCATATGTAAGTTTTTAGTTACTTCCCCAGGAAATTTAATGTTAAGCACGTTTAAATCTTATATATTAAGCTGGTCAATAGTTGTACAAATTATTCCCTGAAGAAGTCTGCGTTAAGAGACGAAACGCGTAGGAAAATAAAAACGTTTGCAACTATTAAAGTTCTCCGTAGTGCTGCTCACAAGTATAAGTTAAAACGACGTTGTTCCTCAAGTCCCAAACCAGCATATCATGTAAGTTTTTAGTCACTTCCCAGGAAATTTAATGTAAAGCGTTGACAATTAAGCTACCAGGCAGTACTTTCATACCTTTTAGGTAAAATGCTAGTATAAGTATCATGAAAATGATTTTGATTTATCCCTGGTTTTGGTAAAGCAGTTTCACATAGTAAGCTAAGGAAAGTAGTGATTTACCTTTCAATGATTCAAATGAAAAATAGAAAACTACTCGATGGGCTTTTTTCACGACCAATTTCTATC